CGGCGCCCTGGGCCGCGGACCGGCGCTGGAGGGGCCTCGCCGCCTGGGCCGGGCGCTCCCCGATCCGCCTCGCCGAAACCCGCGCCCGCCTAGTCTCTCGTCTCCACGAGTTTGGGTGAGAAGTGGGCTTGCTGTGCCCAGGGATGGATTTTAGAGGAAGAAAGCCCGTGAGCCGGCGGACCCCGCCCGAACTTCCTCGGAGACGCCCAGTTAGTGAGTTCGCGGTGCCCACCGCGTTGGCTTCTCGCACGCCCCGCCACTCTCCACAGGGACCGTCCGGCTCCCCAAACCCACACCGGCCGCCCTGGAAAGCGGACAGCCACTTTCCCTCCACATACCTGGCTGGCAGAGGGCGCCTCTAGGGACAAAAGGTGCCCTGGGATCAAAGCTGAGCCCCCAACCCCGCCGGGATGCTGCCCTCCGGAAGGGGGGGCGCTACCCCAAAGGGACACCTCGGGCACCCAGGGGGGAGGTTCCATTTCCATCTCTGATTAAAAAAAAAAAAAAACCCACGGCCCTCCTAGGTACTTAGCGGGACCTGCGGGTAAGTACTGGAATGGAAAATACAGGCCTGCCCCTCACAGGACGGCTGCTGAGGAATGAGAAATAGGAAGGGATGAGCTCTGGTGCGCAGTAGCCCCTGCAAGCAAGGAGGGCCTCCTGCATAGGAAGAGGCGCCCACTCTGATCACCCAGCAGCACCAAAGGAGAAAAAAAAAAAAAGCCCATTCTAACCGACTCCTAGGAGCCAGGACACAGACTTCAATGCAAATACTCAACTTTGTATTTTGCTCTGACGCCTAAAGATGATTTAAGGAATACAAGTGATTCACAAGGGGAAAATTCAGACAATGAACAACAAACAGCCTTGAACTTTTCCAGGGGGTAGGCGAGTACTTCAAGTGGAGTTTGTGCCTTTTTCTCTTGCTTATTTTTTAATTCGTGTTATATTAACAGAACACGGACTTGCTGAAAGGGCAGAGGATGGCAGTTTACTGTTCGTTGTTCGACCTTCCATACCCTTGGACCAGTTCAGGCACTGTGGGGAAAAAAAAAATCCATTAAACCAGGAGTCACCTTGCCCCAGATCCCAGCCAGGTTGGAAAGTGCACACACATATTTCCAAAGGTAACAGTGTTTGAAGGGGAGGGGGAGAACCAGTTAGGGGCAGAGTGTAGGAAAAAAGGTCAAGGTGGAGGGCTATCAAGAGAGCTGGAGAACCAAGGGGCACACAGTATACATAGGACTTGCCTTCCCCTCCAACACAAAAGACCAGCAAATGAGGCAAGCTCTTGCATTATAGTGAATAATCAAGAAAGCAACTCCTTAAAGCGACGCTGGAATGTCAGGAGAAAAGAGTTTTAAGAGGAGCACTGGACAGAGAATGAGAGCTGAGTTCCAGTCCAGCTGTCCCACAGACAAGCTGCATGGACCTGTTTGTTACCCAACCTTTTCAAGCTTTCAACTTCATCTATGAAGGAATGGTTTGGACTAGATTTACAAAGTCCTTCCAGGTCTAAAAGGCTATGATTCCATTTTAGGAGGTAATTATTTCGAATAATCAGTGGCATACAGGGCTAAAGGTGGTATTTTTAGTTTCACTTTTTCTAGTGTGTTTTTTCTCAGCGTGTCAAAGTTACAATGTCGTAGGTCTCTTCACAGCCCCACTCTAGATTTAACACTCATCCTAGAAAGAATTGCTTGTAGGAATTTAATGAATTTGCTTATCACAAAGATTGGGTGCTTCTATTTATAAGTGTTGTAGAAATGAAGATATTAAATATCAAGAGCAAGGGAAAAGAACCTTACCCTTTCTCAGAGAAAGATGGGTAATTTCAAAATAAATTCTCTTGTCAGATGGTTCCTCTCACAATGTGACTGAACCCTGGGTTCATGAATCAGCTTGTTTAAAGTGTGTTTGCTCACATGGCAACTTGGTCAGACTCAGCTTGTCATAGACTGGCAAATGGTGACATGCCCCATGCAAAGACTCAATGCCCATTAGCTGTGGAAGGCTCAAACATGGATCCAACCAGGTTCATGTTCATAGTCACAGGGAAGACCACGGAGCTGGCTGGACATGCCTCAGACTAGTCCTGGTGTTCCCCAAGGTGTGCTCTGCAAGCCTCGATAGGTTAATACGCTTTAAAGGGAGTATCCATACATTGGTCCTTGGGAAACTCTTGGTTAAAGCGAAATGGAATCAGTTATTTCCGTACTACTTGGAGCCCAAAATGTGTAATAGGCATATGGCAATCCGGGCGGGGGGGTGGTGGCGGGGAGATGGAGGTTTTCAGTACTTTTCCATTTAATTTTGGAACCACTACTCTGGTTTTGGTTGGTTGACTGGCTGGTTGGTTGGTTGAGTGTAGTCATGGAAAAGGTGTTCTGAGAAAGACACTGGGGGAAACTGGTTTAACCTTTTGCTTTTTAACCTGTACCACACTAATGATTGTCCAGCATCTCCTTGAATGTTTCATAATATCCACCATCTGCAAGCAAAAAGATCCTGGCATATGATACTGAGCAGGTTGACAGTGAGTCTTAGTGTGATTGCACCTTTTCTAAAAGGAGCCTGCAATGTGGTGGCTTAAGAGGACAAACTTACTAGGCAGTGTCCTTGATTTTAATCCGTCCTGCCTCTTATCGGCTGTGTAGTCTTAAGCAAGATATTTAAGTTCTCCGTGCCTCAGTTTCTTTATCCACAAAATGGTGTTAAAAGATCCCCGGACTGTTGGAGGATTAAACGAGATATATATATATATATCATAATAGATTGTTTATAACAGAGTAATCCCTGAAATCTGTGGTCCCCAAACTCCACATTTCTGCAAAGGGTTTATGTACATTTGTCATTAGACAGGTTTAAGGGCACACAGTTTAACTTTGGAAGCCTATGGAAGTCAGGCTGCCAATGTCTGAGTTGTTTAGGTGTTTTTCTTCATCACCAAAAAAACAAAGAAAAAGGACTTGATGTCTTTTTAATGAAAGCATTACATTTGTTGGCGGGGAGGGGTGTGGGGAGTAGAGAAAAACAGGTCGCCTGCCTGGTCTCTTTATGCTCTTCTTCCCCCAGCCCCGAGAATTGAGGGTTTTGAGGGTTTCTCACCGTATGAATAAATAAGGAATTTCGTGAAGGCAATATTTCCACTATAAATTGCGCTAGGCAGGACAGTGTAGAATCCTAAAGTATTTATGACCAGACAGAATGAGGTTCCAATCCTGACTCTTCACCTCTCGGGGTCTCCGTCTGAAAACCAGCCAGCACACCTAATTCCATGAGTTGCTTTAATTAAAATTGAAACAGTGATGCGAACCGGTTTGTAACCATGCCTGACCTACAGCAGGCGTTGAGTCAATGTTATTTCCCCTCTTCTCCCCATTCCTAACAAAAGGGAAAAGTGGTTGGTTGCCTGCACTACAGATTTTATAAAAATTCAGATCCCAGCCTTCGTCAGACTCCGCCAGTCACTCTCCCATCTCTGTTTGGCGTAGCCTCCTCCCACCGCTGAGCTTGCTTCACAAACTCCTCTTGAGCAAGTGCCCTTGACACCGTTTGCTTTATTTATCAAGTCATGCATTCTTCCCCACAGCCCACTGACAGTGCAACAATCTTATTCTCCTGGAGAGTACCTCCCTTCTCTAATATCCTCTTCCAACTCCCTCCCCGCAAGTTATTTTTTAATAAATGTTTTTTCCCTGCATTGTGTGTTCCTTCTTCCCAGCAGCTGCAATGCAAGATAGACAAAGAGAGCAAAAGAGAGTAAATGCATTTAAATGTAACAAGTCCCCTCCCCTTAGCTACTCAATCCCCCGTACTGGTCGTACTGGTCGTGCTCAGAAAGATAACTTCAATAGGAAACAACAGCAAACATGATATTTGTGGAAACTGGCAAAAGTGTATTTTTAAAGTCTCGGTTCTTCTTTTGGCTTTAAAAAAAAAAATACGTGTCTTTAAAGTGTATTTATAATTTTTTTTTTAGTAATCTCTACTCAAACTCACGACCCACGTGGGGCTCAAACTCACGACCCCAAGATCAAGAGTCAGATGTGCCACTGATGGAGCCTGCCAGGTGCCCCCCTTCTGTTGGCTTTTTATATTAGGCTTCAGTCATCAACCTTCTGACATAGTGACACGGTCATGAGGGAAAGGGAGCCCAAGCCCCATGCCCATAGAGAGGAAAAAAGGGGATCACCCGGTGAGGGGCAGGAGGCTTGGGGATGGCCAGCCCCAGAAGGCAAGACAGAAGATGAGCGCCTTCTTACACAGCCTCTGAGCTAAGAATGAGCTTTATATTTGTAAATGGTTGAAAGAAAATAAGAGGAGGAATAGTATGGCACATGAAAATTACATAAAATTCTAATTTTGGCATCCATAAATAAAGTTCCATTAGAATACAGCCACACTTGGGCGCCTGGGTGGCTCAGTTGGTTAAGCAACTGCCTTCGGCTCAGGTCATGATCCTGGAGTCCCGGGATCAAGTCCCGCATCGGGCTCCCTGCTCGGCGGGGAGTCTGCTTCTTCCTCTGCCGCTCCTCCCTCTTGTGCTCTTTGTCTCTCTTTCTCTCTCTCTCAAATAAATAAATAAAATCTTTAAAAAAAAAAAAAGAATACAGCCACACTCATCCTTTGCATGCGGTCTGTGGCTGCTTTTTGCACCACAAAAACAAAACAGTAATTGTGACAGGCCAGGAAGACCTGAAATATTTACCATCTGGTCCTTTACAGAAAAAGTCCACCTTGGCTGCGGGCCAAGGACTTCTCAAATTGTAATAAGCATATATAACCCTCGGGCATCTTGCTAAATGCAGGTTCGGACTTAATAAGTCTGGGATGGGGCCTGAGACTCTGCATTTCCAGCAGCTCCCAGGTGACGCTCTTGCTGCTGGTCTGCAGACCGTACTGAGTATCAAGGCCTTGAAAGGCTTGTCCGTCTTATGTTAATTTTTGTGAATGATTTCTAAGTAAGCAAATCTTAGAAAATATGAAAACTTGGAGTGTAACCCAGGATAATAACCTCAAACAGATTTTCCACGTTTCATCCCATTGTTTTGCATCATGTGACGGTCTGATGGCTGAGGAAATGGATTTGCCGGCAACCTTGCTGAGGCCAAAGGGATTGCAGCCCCAACACTTCTGGGATGTGAGGCTCCCTTGTATTTGCCGTAAACTTTCCATTCTGACCCCAGAAAGACCTGAGTTCACCTTACCCAAATTATTATTGATTTTTCCAATTTGAGGCAAGTCCCCTCTCTCAGCTCTTCCTTCAGGGATCAGCGCTTCTCAGAGTGACCAACACTTGGAGAAACATCTAGGGTTCAAATCCTAGCCCTTCTAACGTGTTCTGACACCTAGGGGCACGCAAGTTCTGGTGCCTCAATTTTCCTACCTGTGTGATGGAGATAAAGTATGTAAAGCCTCTGGATTTGTGGCAGGTGCTTCCAAACCTGCATCTCAAAACTTCAGATACCCCAGACCTGCTCCTCCCCCGAGCTGACTCATTTTAGCAAATGTCAATTCCATTCTTTCATGATCTAGACCTGAAACCTTGGAATTATCCTCTTCTACTTTTACCGCCGGCTCCTCCACTCCAGCCTCACTCTCTGCTCCCACCTCAGGGCTTTTGCACTTACTATCCCTTTACCTGCAATGCTCTCCATCAGATACATAACTGGCATCGGCCGCAGGTTTTTACATCACATGAAGTGCATCCTATCTTCTGTGTACATATGATAATGAGATGGAACTGGCAAATAGCTGCCCTTCCATGATAGAGAAGAGCTTCCCACCTTTCTTTTTTTTTTTTTTAATTTATTTGAGAGAGAGAAAGAGAGCACATGAGAGGGGGGAGGGTCAGAGGGAGAAGCAGACCCCCTGCTGAGCAAGGAGCCTGATATGGGACTCGATCCCGGGACTCCATGATCATGACCTGAGCCGAAGGCAATCGCTTAACCAACTGAGCCACCCAGGCGCCCAAGCTTCCCACCTTTCAAGGGACAACCATTCTAAGCTTCTGAGTAGAAGGAAATGAGGAGGGAGAAGAGCACAGCCCCAAATCAAATGCTTGCTCTCCTGTGCATGCCACTTAGAGAAACAGACAATAAACACGTGACTGTATGTCAAGGGTAATGAGTGTGTTCGGAGAAAGCAAGCAGGAAACATGAATAGAGCCCTAGGCCCTGGGAGCAGTGTAGATGCTTTCTATAGGGAGGTTAAGTCAAGCACAGCTTTTCTCCCATAATGTGCCATCTTAGCAGGTGCCTAAATGAAATGAAGGTGCAAACCCTGTCACTGTCTAGGGAAGGGCCTTCCAGGAAGAGAGAACAGTGAATGAAAATGCCCTGGGCCCAGAACTTGCAGGCCGATGTTGTCAAAGTGTGTTTCTGGGCTTTCTGGGCTGTGCGTGATAGGATGCCTGCCACAGAGCAGAGAACACAGGTGGACCATAACTGCGGTCCGGTTCTGGTCTGACGGGGTACTTAATGAATGCTGTAGTGCGTCTCAACAGTTTTGAGCCTGTGTATAACGTCTAATCCCAAAGGATAGGGATTAGAACAGGAAGCACTTACTGAGCATTTATAGGGCAGGCACTAGAATGACAGCATGTTCATTATCACATTTAATCCTTTCAACCTTGAGGGAGGCCCACCATACAGATGAGGAGGAGAAAGTTCCGAAGAGGTATGAGGTCCCCAGCCAGCTCATAGGCAGCTGAAGGGGAATTCTCCCAGAGAACTCCAGAACCACCCCCCCACCCCCGCCGGGTTTAGGTCTAGGCTGTATCAGGCTGCCCAAGTGCTCTGTTCTGCCCCTCCTGGCCTGTCCCAGGTTCCACCTGCTTTTTTACTTCGGTTCAATTAACTCTAACTTTCCTCCACCTCGTTCTGGTGTCTTGTTTCATGACCCCGTATTTATTGTGCTCTGCATCTTTCCTATCTGGCAGCTAGCTTTCACTTCCTGTGAAGGTTTACACATGGGCGGTTGGGTAGTTATTTAGGTAAGACTCTTATCAAATTCACCATCACCCAGAACTTGGTTTTCGGTTTTGCAGGTCTCTTGCTTCAGAGTTCATCTAACTCAGGAAGAATGTAATCAAAATACGGAGAGAATGGTACACACCCATGATGTCAATTCACTCATTTTAAAAGGAGAACTTGACCGCCAAGCAGCGACATTTGACCAGCTGACTTTCCTCACAGAAAAGCTACTCAGGAAGGCAAACCAAACCATGAGGTTCCTCTGCGAGCCAGGGGGATGAGTGGGCTAATCTTACTGGCTCACCGTGGCAAGCTAAGTTCACCTGCAGTTCCCAATTCCTCGAAACAGGACACTGTCTTCTAAAAAGCCCCGGTGTTGGTCTGTCCCTGTTGTGGAATCACACCAAAGCCCTGCCTTTTAGACTCCTCTCTTAGACGCTGGGTGGGCAGATCACAGCTCTTCGGAAACCACAAGCAATGTAGAGGCTTACGTTTTCTTAGACATTTGGATCACCCATTTTTAGCCAACTCTGCTTCTTTGTAGGTGGCTGATCTCATCCTACACTTGTTGAGTCTTCCAAGTCTTGTTCTCGGGGTTTTGCAGGTATCTTGGTGAGGCCTCTGGTTTTAGGTTCTGCTTTAACATTTATTAGCATAAGACTTTAGGAAAGTTACTTCAATTTCCTCATCTATCACGCTGACAGCTAACACCTGTCCTCCTCCCGAGCTTGCTCTAAGGATGAAGCCTGTTAACACAATAAAGCTTTTTGAGATTTGGGGAAAAAAAGAAAAGGATCATGTAAATGCAAAATGAAATAATTTTTCAAAGCAAGATCTCCGTAAAACAATAGTTGCAACAGGGAAAGAGAAGCTGACGTCACAGCTGGCCCCAGAAACCTGCACACAATCTACAGTCTATATGGTCTACCCAGGAGCCCACGGTCCATTATTGATGGGAGTGTGGTTCCATCTGGTCCAAGAACCACCACCCTGAAATATCCTTCAGTATCTTGATTTTTTTTTTTTAAAGATTTTATTCATTTATTTGAGAGAGAGAGACACAGAGCAGGAACACAAGCAGGGGGAATGGGAGAGGGAGAAGCAGGCCTCCCGCCGAGCAGGGAGCCCGACGCGGGGCTCGAGCCCAGGACCCCGGGACCATGACCCGAGCCGAAGGCAGACGCCCAACCGACTGAGCCACTCAGGCGCCCCTTGATAATTTTTTTAAGATTAACTTATTTTAGAGAAAGAGAGAACATGTGAGTGGGGGGAGGGGCAGAGGGAGAGAGAATTGTCAAGCAGACTCCCTGCTGAGCGTGGAGCCCAATGTGGGGCTCGATCCCAGGACCCTGAGATCATGACCTGAGCCGAAATCAAAAGTCAGATGCTTAACTGTGGGAGCCACCCATGTGCCCTCTTGATTTGAAGCCACCCACAGACTAGAGATATTGTTTGCCTGGTCCCCCATTATTCTTTCCCAAATCCAGAGTGCAGAGTAAATGTGATGCTGTGAAAGAAATATAAGACTCAGAGTCCTAAGACCTGGTTCAAAACTCAGCTTTCCCTCCCTGTCAGTGAGGCCCAGTCCAGTGTCATTCCCCTGACTGAGCCCCGGCCACCCATCTGTTAAGGGGCCCCTCAGAGTTGCTGGGAGGCTGGGATGTGGTAACCTAGGTTAAGAGAGACTAGCATGAAGGCTAGCATGTAGAAGACACCCCAAAGATGCTTATTTATTTTTTTCAAAGAAGCTTGTTTAAAATAGGAATGTCAGGGGCACCTTGGTGGCTCAGTCAATTAAGCGTCTGACTCTTGATTTCAGCTCAAGTCATGATCTCGGGGTCATGGGATGGAGCCCCTCCACACCCCATAAGAGCACTCTCTCTCTCTCTCTCAAATAAATAAATAAAATATCTTTAAAAATATTAACAATAGGGGCGCCTGGGTGGCTCAGTTGTTAAGCGTCTGCCTTCAGCTCAGGTCATGATCCCAGAGTCCTGGGATCGAG